AGTGTGTGTTTTTTTTTTTTAATGACAGTTACACTGCCACATACAAACATATTTACACAGATATACATACACATTAACACACAGATACACACATATAAACACACTGACAAATACACACAAATTCATTTACACACTTACACACTTACACACTCTGACACACAGATACACACTGACATATACACACACACGCAGATGCACACCCTGACACACAAATACAAGCACACTGACAAACACACTCACCCTAAAATGCACATGCACACACACTGACATGTATACACACACACAGCTGCATATCCTGACACACAGATATAAGCACACTAACACACACAGCCACACACATGAACCCTGACACACAGATGCACACTTTCACACACAGATGCACAGACGTTGACATTTATACACTGTTGCACACCCTGACACACACACACACTGATTTAATACTTACACAGATATACACACACATTAGCCAACAGATACACATATATACGTACAGGGCCGGCGCGTCCATAAGGCGGCACAGGCGGCCGCCTTATGGAGCACCTGCCCGGATGGGCGCTAGATTAGAGTGACCGGCAGGAGGGACGTGCACAGCGCTCCCTCCTGCCAGTTACTCAGTGTAATGTGGCCCAGCGGAGCAGAGCGCTGAGAGAGCACATCCTGTCAGTCCGGCCACGTACAGGAAACTGACGCTCCGCTCGGTCACGCTACAAGAGAGGTAATGAGGCATACCAAGGAGGGAGGGGAGTGGCCAACAAAGGTGGGTGGGGTGAGAAAAGAACACTAAGGGACAGGAAAGGGGAAAGGAACACACAGGGGAAGAGGGGACCACTAGAAGGGAGGGGAGAGGAACACTAGGGGGATGGGGTGGACCACTAACAGACAAGACACTAAGGGACAGGGAAGAGGACCACTAATGGACAAGAAGGGAAGGGGAGAGAACCACTAAGGGACAGGAAGTGGAGAGTGGCACACAGGGAGGCCTAAGTGGGAAGACAGACACAAAGAGGGACATGAGGGAGGAGAAAGACACCCAGATGGGTCTGGGGGTGAGACAAATGCACAGAGAGACTGGGGATGAAAGAGACAGACAGAATGGCCTGGGGTGTGGGTGGACATATAAATGGGCTGGGGATGAAAGAGACATGGAGGGGCTGAAGAAGAGGAAAAAGGGACACAGAGATGAGATACATGGGCTGGGGGTGAAAGAGGAACACACAAAGGAGCTAGGAAGTGTAACGGGAGTCATAACCCAACACAAAGGAAAGAGGAGACAATAAAAGGTCGGTCCAAAAGACGTATTACCGAGCCTTAGAATGGCCAGACTTAAAGTAATTAAGTCCCTTCCGGCACAGCGCTTTGTAAGTGATTGGTTTTCACTTTCTACCAGCCGGCAGATTTTACAAGGGCACGGTCAGGCTCTTAAAGGGCTGCGGTGCCTGACCGGGTCCCTGTTAAGCAACAGAGCCAAACATGCGCTTAGAGCTACCCATATTAACCATTGGGTGTCTCTAAGCGCATGGACCACCTGATGAGCCCCCTGAGCCGGCGGTAGTTCCGCCACTGATCCAAAGAGATGGACCAGAGGTGGTGCTAGCCTCAAGGAGACCAGCAAGGAGCTGGAAAAAGGCAAGTTAAATACCTTTTTAAACAGGGCAAGGGGAATGACGACGACCAATGAATACGTGCTTTTTAGTATATAGTGTTAGGAATACGTGTTTGTTCCTTTAAAAATATAGTAAGTTTCTATGAACTAATGTTAGTCTATATTTGTGAATGTTCATTATTTTCTTTGAACAGGGTCATGCTCCATACTGTGTAAGGCCACATTTAGTCACACATTATTAAACATGACAGTGTCACGATGGAAATACTTTGCTAAAATGCAGACACAAGCACTCTGATAATTACTTATCCATAAAAAAGAAAAAAAAGAAAATGTATTTACATAGCCTCCAGACAATTTTAAAAAACACTCCAAATGCAATCACAATTTCTTGCAATTAAACGCAAAGCTCGTATTTCTGTTGCCTTGGGTAATGGAACCACATGTGATTGTTTAAACAACGCCTGCATTAAAGCTGGACTTTTATTGGTAATTGTCTATTTTCTATTGCTCAGGATCTCGAATATTGTCCTCTGCAATATTACAAAGAGGGTCTCATTTTGGTTCCTGGTTACATCTCCTGTTAATTCCTCAGTCCCTGTTCCAAGTCTCACTGTAGAACATGCCATCAGGTAATATTGTGGTTCTAATGAACAAATGTCAAACGCTATTATTTCATGTAAATACTGAATAAATGATATATTGGTAATAGGAAGATAAAACATTAAAGTTAAAGTGAAAAGAAAATCTATATTTATAAACGAGTGTGATGAATGTAAAATGCATAGCCCATATAGTGTTCAATAAGCCTATGAAATAGTCTCCTTACCTTGGCTGACCACATTTGCCCATTTCAATGACTTGCTCAATGAACTGTTAGCTCCATACAGAGAGACATTTCTTTTTTTCACACTCTTCATATACTTACAATTCAAGGCTTCCAGGTATGTACAAATTAAGACAGTCTGAAGTATAAACATCTTAATAGATTAAAGGAACACTGTAGGCACTACAGCTTTTAAAAAAAAAATGTATTCTGAGAAAAGGCAGTATTTACATTGATGCATAATGCCACCTCTTGTAGCTATGACTAGTTTCTTTTTGCATCTCTATTGGATCGGCTAAGATCATCAATACTAATAATCTAAGCCAACAGAGACAGGGCTATTGTGGCAAGACAGGCATGCTTGGGGAAGAAAGGTAAGTATATATATATTTCCAAAGTGCAGTAGTGCCGAATTGCTGAAGTGCCGAAGCACAGTATTGCCTAAGTACTAATATACTTACCCAGTGAAAGAAGAAGAATGTTACACTGTATGCAATTTCAAATAAATAGTATACAAACAAAGCCAGGATTCAGCTGTAAGCATTTGCAACACTTACAACAATCAAGTAACTTACATTCATATAAAATGTAAATTACTTAGCCAGTCATGTAATGACAGGAATGAATAAGTAGATAACTCCCTAATATCATGTTATCTACTAAAGGGCTGAAAGACCTGAATTGGTCTTTCAGCCAAATTTACTAATACTAAGTAAAGATTACTTAGTATTAGTAAATTCTGCCCCTACTCGCTATACCGCGAGTAGGACATGTCTATTAAACAGTGAGAAGCCTTTCAAAAAAAAAAGGCCCCCCCTCCTGAGCCCCCAAACGCGACGGGGTGGGGGCCAGAGGGGAGGACAACAGCCCCCCCCCAATTTTAATTTAGGGCCCCCACCCGCTGCTTAGAGGTGGGCCGGTGGGGAGGACAATAGGTCCTCCCCTTTTTTTCCCTTTTTTTTTCTTTAGGGCCCCCACCCGGCGCTCAGGAAGGAGGGACCCTTTTTTTTTTTTTTTTTACAGTGAGCAGCCACAGGCTGCTTGCTGTTTAATAGACATGCCCCTATTCGCGGTATAGCGAGTAGGGGCAACATTTACTAATACTAAGTAATTTTTACTTAGTATTAGTAAATTTGGCTGAAAGACCAATTTAGGTCTTTCAGCCTTTTGGTAGATAATTCCCTAATACCATGGGCATTAGGGAGTTATCTATCAAGCGGCTGCAAGAAAAGTCCCAAAATGCCGGAGTTCCGAAGTTGCCGAAGTTCCAAAGTGTCTAAGTTGCTGAAGTTGCCGAAGTTCCGAAGTGGCGAATTATCGAAGTCCCGAATTGACGAAGTCACGAATTTCGGAATGCCGAACCTAGCCGAATATTTTCCCCATGCACATGCCTAAAAGGGAGTAATAGGAAGAGCTAGTTGAAAAGGTGCTGAACGTCATTAAAGGAGCACTATAGGGTCAGGAACACATACATATAATTCTGACCCTATAGAGTTAAAACCACCATCTAGCCTGCCGGCCATCTCTTGCCACCCTAAATATAGTAAAATCTTACTTGTATTCAAATCTGCAATTGCTGGCTCTGCCCCTGTTTGCCAGTGAACTGCCTCTGTCTGCTGACATCATCAGAAGTGGTGGTCTGAGCCAATCATAATGCTTCCCCACAGGATTGGCTGAGACTGCCAAGGAGGCAGATCAGGGGCACAGCCAACACAAGTCAAACAGCCCTGGCCAATCTGCATCTCCTCATAAAGATGAATTGAATTAATGCATCTCTATGAGGAAAGTTCAGTGCCTGCATGCAGATGGTGGAGCCACTGAATGGCAGTGGTGTACACTAGGCAGGAGTGCCCTAGGAAGCACCTCTAGCAGCCATCTGAGTAGTGGCCAGTGAAGTTATCACTAGGCTGTAATGTAAACACTGCATTTTCTCTGAAAAGACAGTGTTTACAACAAAAAGCCTTAAGGGACTGACTATACTCACCAGAACAAATACAATAAGCTGTAGTTGTTCTGGTGACTATAGTGTCCCTTAAGACCAAAAAACTCTTTTGCGTATGCTCGTTTGGCCTGGTCTGTGAGTGCACAGTATCACAGGAAGAAGATGAAATGAAATAAGCTATGAGGAAGAGTCATATAGCTTTGAGGGGCTAGAAAATGTGAGTAAATCGGCAAAACACTGCTCAGGAGTGCTGTTAAACTGCCCAAAAATCCACAGAATCACCAGGTAAAAGGACCTAGTATACTGGAGAAACAATACAAAAGAGAATCCATATCCCATGGCACAAAAATTCAAAAAACGCAAAAACTGAAAAAAATAATTTGTCTTAAAGCAGAATATATAGGGGATAGGACAGGAACAAAAAGGAGGGGCAGGAGGGGGTGCTTATACATTTTCTTTTAATAAGGTTACTGTCTAGGGGATGGCAGGAGGTACCTATTGTTGTGCTACCATGGACATGGTCAGAAATTTTATATATATATATATATATACAAAATACAGAATCCAGCGCACTCGCTTATTCACTAAATAATGCTTTCAAAATTTTAGAGATTGTAATAGTTTTATTTAAAAACACCTCACCTAGGCAAAAAATAATGGGGGTTTAGTTACATTATATGATCATATAATGTAACTAAACCCCCATTATTTTTTGCCTAGGTGAGGTGTTTTTAAATAAAACTATTACAATCTCTAAAATTTTGAAAGCATTATTTAGTGAATAAGCGAGTGCGCTGGATTCTGTATTTTGTATGTTTTTTGGCCCCAGCAGCACCCTATAATGTATGCATGTTTAGGTGAGTGCAGCCCTCTTGGTTTTGTTTATATATATATATATATATTCCAAAGAAAAGGTGCACTCGCAGATCTGTTTGTATAAAGTTTATCCTGATCGACGTTTCGACCCTAGTGGGTCTATCTTAAGATCTTGATGAAGACCCTCTAGGGTCAAAACGTTGATCGGATTATATGTCGTAAGCCCAAGGCAAGGTTTCTGGATTAAAATTCTATAATGGGTGAGTGCCAAAACACCTTTAATATATAAAAAATTTAAATATAGCATTCCTCCAATAAAATGTAAGCATATGTTTTATTGTTTTCTTCTCTTTCTTGAGTACAGAAATGAAAGGAACAGGATAAACAGTGCATTTCTGCTGGATGATAAAACCTTGGAGTTTCTGGAAATTCCTCCTACGATGGCTTCCATTGTTAATCATAATAAAGAGTCATGGCTGATTGCGTTTGGAGTCGTAGTAGGTCTTTTAGCAATTGCAGCCTTACTCTTCATAGGGTCAGGAATTCAAAATTACAGGAGGTAAGTCATTCTTTGTTCACAATCTCCTTTATATAATACAAACTACATTTATATAAAAAGAATGACGCTCACAGTATACAATATGAAGATCTAAACCACAAGTTCCTGTTAACCACATAAATCCAAAAATCTAAATCTTAACCAATTTTGGAAGGGACCCAAATTATGCACATGACAATTACTTTTAGACCTGTTGTTTATTTGAAACATTTGTTCAGTAAACAATTTTATAATTCAACTATAAATATAACACCAGTATACCATACAAAATCTATACATGGAATACACTTCCTGTGCAAATTTCTTTTTTTAAATTTTCCCTCTGATCTAAATAATTTTCATTAATAATTACATATTTATCTTGGTCTCTGGTTACTTCTGCATATTATCTTTTTTGTTTATGCTTTTTTGTCATTCCCCCTACCCCATAAAACTATTTTACCCAATTAAAAAGCTACATTAAAAGCTAAATACTCTGCAGTTGGCTAAAAAAAATACTGGTGCTTTCTACATCATTTAGTGCCAATAGCTAATTGTCATTACACTCATATCATACAAAATTTTCATTGATTGTACGTGCTCAAAATATCATAAACTGTTATTACAGTTAATCATTTATGAGCACACAAATTGCCCCTTACTGTGTTGTAAACTCATGAGATAGTCATTGTTCATGATCTTTCATTTTATTATCTCGTGATTTCATAATAAGGATACTAATAGCTGATATAAAGTTCATTCTCTCTCTTACTGCTTGATCAAGGTTCAAGGTAAAATACATACATAAGCAGCATTTTTGGATTAGCAGATTTCTGTTCACTGTCCATGTTTAAGTACTTCTCTTTTTTCACTATTTTTTTTTTAGCAAAAAGGAATGTTCATTGGCAAAAATCTAAAAAGAAAACTATTAAAAAAGATAACAAATATTGTGATACCCACTACACTACTGAACATTTCATAATATATTTTTAAAAATGAATGTAGAAGAAATACGCTTCAAATAGTCAAACAAAATTAAAGTTAAATGCAAATAATTGAAAAGTGACAAAAAAAATCACCTGTTACGTATGCTCAATGTAAACACTCATATCTCATGTGAATAGAAAATGCAGTCTACAGAATAAAAATAGTAAAAGGTAAACAATGACCACTTCAGTGATTTAGCTGACATTTAAAGTGGATAAGTGCAAATTAATGCATTTTGGACGTAAAAAAAAACAAGGGCAGAGTACAGAATATTTGATAGAGTCCGACCTCAACATCCGAGGAAAGGAATATGACTTAAAGGTAGGCAGACAATGTTATAGAGCATCTGGAAATGCTAGCAGAATGCTTGGTTGTATAGGGAGAGGTATTAGCAGTAGAAAGAGAGAAGTGCTCATGCCATTGTACAGAACACTGGTGAGACCTCACTTGGAGTATTGTACACAGTACTGGAGACCATATCTCCAAAATGATATTGATACTTTAGAGAGGGTTCAGAGAAGGGCTACTAAACTGGTTCATGGATTGCGGGATAAAACTTACCAGGAAAGGTTAAAGGATCTTAACATGTATAGCTTGGAGGAAAGACAAGACAGGAGGGATATGATAGAAACATTTAAATACGTAATGGTAATCAACACATTAAAGGAGGAGACTATTTAAAAGAAGAAAACCTACCACAATAAGAGGACAGTCTTAAATTAGAGGGTTTTCAAAAAAATATCAGGTAGTATTATTTTATTGAGAAGGTAGTGGATGCATGGAATAGCCTTCCAGCTAAGGTGGTGGAGGTTAACACAGTAAAGGAGTTTAAGCATGCGTGGGATAGGCATAAGGCTATCCTAACTATAAGATAAGGCCAGGGACTAATGAAAGTATTTAGAAAATTGGGCAGACTAGATGGTCCGAAAGGTTCTTATCTGCCGTCATATTCTATGTCATGGTGGTAGAAGTCAGTATGCGCAGTATTTCAGTTTAAAACACTGCATATGCAGAGCTATTTATTATTGTGTGCTGGGGCTAGTTCCCCCTGGGGGCACAAGTGACATTGCCAGCCCAGAACTCAGGGCTGCCTAATGTAAGTTTTGTGCATATTTTTCATCTGCAAAATGATCACAATCCCCTCCCACCCACATTACGCTCCCTACGTTACCCTAAGTGAATTTAAAAACATGCCTCCCCTTCTCTACCCCCTCCCCTTCCCGCATGCACTCTGAGCTGGCAAAACTGACCTATCACATGTTTCTCCATAGTATCCAATAGGGCATTTTACACACAAAAGGCCCCCCGCACTAAAAGGGTTGGAGTCATTTTTGGGGGAGTGTATAACATATATTTCTTGAATATTCTCAAAAATTGGAAAGAGTTTTTTTAAAGGGAGGAAGCGGTGGGTGAGAAATCTAAAGGCACATGAGATATAAACCTGACTCTTCCTTTGGATTAGTAGGCAGTCCAGTCTTAAAATCAGCGATTCAAACACAATTTCCAACTGATAGAGCAGCATAAAACATAAATCTGTGCACTCGCGTCATCTGATCGCTCTAGCAAATCAGTATTGGCAATATACTACTTCCTATTGGTTGAATCTCGATTGATCTCATCTCTAGTGAAAAACATTTGTATGTGTAAACTCTCAATATATTGCATTCTGTTTCTACACAATTTATTGGAAATAAATGTTATCAGAGAAATACATTCATGTAATGATTGCATATGTAATAGGTCTATGAATATATTTGTCTCAGTAAATAGTTTACTTAAGATAACCTAATCTGCATTGATGCAATCAGATACGTTTGGATTGTAAACTTGCATAATGCTGGGAAGTTATTTTCTGATGAAAATATAATTTTACCTTCTTGCCTTTTTGTAAAACAATTGTGAGGCCTCACCTTAAAGGGACACTATAGTCACCAGAACAACTGCAGCTTATTGTATTTGTTCTGGTGAGTATAATCATTCCCTTCAGGCTATTTGCAGTAAACACAGGTTTACACTACAGCCTAGTGATAACCCCATTGGCCACTCCTCCGATGAGGTGCTTCCGGGGCTGTGCTTCACTTTGTGCAGCACTAGCATTCAGTGTATCCACCCTCTGCATGGAGACGCTGAACTTTCCTCATAGAGATGCATTGGTTCAGTTGCATATCTATGAGAAGATGCTATTTGGCCAGGGCTGTGTTTGACTTGTGCTGGCTCTGCCTCTGATCTGCCTCCTTGACTGTCTCAGCCAATCCAATGCTTTCCTATGGGGAAGCATTGTGATTGGCTTTTGGTCAACACTTCTGATGCCAGTCAAGCAGGCAGATCGGGGCAGAGCCAGCAGCAGACTGGAATAAAAGTAAAATTTGACTATATTTAAGGGGGTGAGAGGTGGGGCCAGGAGGGCTAAATGGTGTTTTTAACGTTACATGTTTGTGTTCCTGACCCTATAGTGTTTTTAATTTTAAATGTGGAATACAACTTTAAAATGAGGGTTAATGCTGGATAAGGGTTAATGATGTTTTAGGGTTAGGGAGAGTGCAGGGGTAAGGTTAGAGCAGTTATACAGTTAGCTTTGTTGTAAGTATATTGTTAGGTGTAGGATTGCTATAGCCTTGGTGGGGGAGGTTGGTATAGCGTTAGCATCACTTACCAAAAATTAATGTAGTTCCTAGACATTTCAGTTATTTAATAATAAAGATTGACATGTAAATCTATTTGGATTTCATTCATTTTAGTTGCACTGGATATGTAAAAATTATTTTAAGCAGAAATGTGAATTTTATTCACACTTATTGTTGCGTTAGGTATACCTACAGGGGATCATTACCGGGTTAAAGAGTTTTGTAAAAAAATTTAAACAATGTCTGGATGCTGTAGCAGCGCTACTATACCCTGCCTATTTCCCCTCATAGCTAGAAGAAGCGCTGGTTAGTGTTATAGCTCTCCCATCCTCCCCCTCCCAGTAACTAGACGCCAAATAGTGCATAGCAATTGTTCATTTCAGTCTGTAGTACCTCCTCTAAAAATAGCTCTCTCCTGGCAGGTCTAAAAAAAAAGTAGGGTTAAACCAACATATAATGTGGCTGTGAAATGCGAGTAGGCGCGGCCAAGACAGAGTTTCATAAGTTTTACTACCAAGTCCTCGCGGATGTCCTAGGTGCTGGGGGTTACAGGATACCTTATTCAGGAGGGTTGAGCACGAGCCGTGTAATCCTGGTTCATGCTTTATGCTTGTCCGTGCCCAACGCCATATTGCGGGACTACCAGCGCACTTTGCTAGGCACCGTTGGAAGCTCGGGAGAAGAGTGGCAGTTGCACACCCGAAAGGCGAGTAGGTTCCGCCCGTGCAGGGGATTGGTTTTGGGGGAGGCTGGGACCAGTTGCTGTGTGTAATG